GTTTTCCAAGCAGGATTGCGTGATCCATGCACTTGGGATGTTGCTCGACTTTCAGAAAGCGCAAAAATACACTTGCCTGTGGCTCGAGTATTTTTACGCTTTCCGAAAGTCTTGTGACATCCCTCGTGCATGGATCACACAATCCTGCATGGAAAACCATTCAGTATTCCTTTAATAAAGTAGGGTGCATTGATTAATTACTGTAGTCCACTTAATGGTAATTTTTATGCCTCTACTTTGGTTCTAGGTGAGAAAGATATGGCAAGTTCAGATCTAGATAAGGCTCTTGAACTATGTCACAACGAAGGCCAAGTGGCTGGACAGGCATTCACACAACGAGCATTAATTCACAAATTAAATGGTGATGACAATGCAGCATTGGAAGACTTCAAAAAGGCTGCAAGATTGGGAAATTCGTTTGCAAAATCACAAGTTGCCGAGGGAAATCCATATGCTGCCCTGTGTAACCAAATGTTGGCCCAAGCCATTGGTAAACTGAGAGAATGTGACCAATCTTAAAGACCAAGTGTATTTATTGTAAGGTACAATGTGCTTAAAGCCTGCTGCAGATGTACAAGAGAAACATGCTAAGCTAACTGCTTCGCATGGTGGCTAGCTTAGCATGTTTCATGTGCGGATAGTTTTCATGAAGATTTAATATCTCAAGGCCTTCAGAACCCATAGTTTCTTCGCATGACTTTGGGGGCAATGCAAATGACTTGTTAACCCATTGAGCTGCAATGCACCCCAGTGCGCCCTACTTATTTTTTTTTACCTGTCTAACGCCAGACGATTTTACTTGTCAATGGGGAAGCTCTGCAGCTTAATGGGTTAGTGATGTTCACTAACTGTTGTTGTTGGGTAGTTTTCCTAACATGTGTGGTGAAAATGCATAGCTAACTGAGAGCTGTATGGAAAAATGTCAAACCAAGGTCTTTCAAATAGAAATTGCATATTGCACATTGGCAATACAGGAAGAGTCGGCAGCCAACCAATGAAAACAAATGCTTGTCACATAAAATAATATAGTAAGAAATAGTTTTAATTAATCCTAAACTCTAATCTCCCTACTTATAGACCCTTTTCATAAATGGCTGCCGATTAAAAATTCTTTTATGCACATATAAATTGGCCCAACTAGCCTCGTTTCTGGGTAGAAATTACTTTGAAATCTTAACATGAGTATGAGGCTAGTTGGGCCAATTTATATGCACATAAAAGAATTTTAATCGGCAGCCATTTATGAAAAGGGTCTATGATCTGAACAACTTCAAAGAAGTAATCATAAATGGCATGGATCCATATAAACTTTAGGTTGTCGAAACACCATGTATATTTATTATTGCCAGGAAAAACTACAAACAACTTTAACTATAATAAAATAGCAATTGTAACAATGATGCTAACCATATCACATAAAATATGTATAATAGATCATAAATAACTACGGTATGATATATAGTCTATAAAATTAAGATGTTTTCCATGTGCTTGGATCCTGATCTTGCAGTTGACTAGTTGTATGTCGTTTCCATCTCAACCATAAAAATCCAATACAAATACATATAACAGTCTCGATATAGTAGCCATCAATATCTGTTATGCAATTTCCACCAGCATCCGTACACATCTAAAAAAATAAAATTACGATAAATTATACATCAGAATTTGTTTATATCTAGTCCTCCCTCGGCAATCTGACATCCGTGTTGAGAAAACCATCACTTGCTTCAGCTCCCTATTAAACAAATTCCATTGATACAAACCTTTTCATTAAGTTTTGAACTACAAGTCACATGAGTAGTGTTTGCTCCCACGCATGATTTCCATGTCAAAACATCAACAAACCAAAGAGCAGTTGTGCTAGTCCATACTCCACCAAGATTACTGAGTGTGTTGAGCAATGTCATATATGTTCCCCCCACGACAGGATCACTGACACGAGCATTGAAGGCCATGATTGCAACAAACATACAATTTGTTGTTACCTGAGAAAACAAGTTAATAAACAACAACAGTTTATCCAGGGCATAAAACGTCATCCATATGTAGATTTCAGAGAATGTTTGTGATAAAATTCAACCTCAAACAATCTCGACTTGCAAAACTCTTGGAATTTTTACAACAAATAAATTATGTAGCTTAATTTCCAGTATATAAGATTAAAGAAATCCTGCAAGATGCCTGACTGGTCAAGTCAATTAAGATAGTGGTAATACAAGACTTAATTGAAGACTGAGACTGTTAATATGAGTTAATTAGCAGATAAAAAACTGTTCAATTAAAGAGAAAACATATAATTCGATCTTAAGCTTAGATTGAAAGCAAGAAACAGGTGAAGCATGACAAATATCCTGGAAGAGTTAGGAGTTAGTTTGGTGCCTTGCAGCTTGATGGGTTAATTTCATTACATATACATTACCTGGTGCAAGGCATAGAATAACAATAAGACAAGATAGAAATACACAGGGAAGTCCTGTTCTCCTGGAGTACGGACATGATGTGCCCACCAAACACACAGGCAAAGTACAATGGACATTAGCAACCGAAATGGCATTGCATTGAGGGAAATATCTAATGGTCTTGGTCCTACAAAGAAAAAATAATTGTATTTGAATATAATATCAATTAAGTATTAACCCATTGAGTGGCAGCACTCTCCCCTTGATGAGTAAATTGTCTGGCATTAGACAGAATAAAATATTAATAAAGTAGGGCACATTAAAAGGGTAAAGGTGTGACATTCATGTCCATTGGTTGGTAGTATTAGGTACAGTTGTCAAACGGTGAAAAGGTTGGCTTGCAAGAACAGATCTGCCATTTGTTTATGCTTACCAACCAGTCTTCAAAACAGTAGTATAATTTCGGGAAATAACGCCTGTTGTCTACATTATAGGTGGGAAATTTGCCGAGTGCACTGTAGGCGTCAACTGGGAATCCTGTTTGTGGTTTCAGCTTTGGTGTATGCTTCAATACTGTACCTGATGTATATCGACTAATTATCCAAGGTAGAATGATTTGTAATGGAATCATTGGCACAGCCAACATTGCAAGTGTTTCTTTTGGTACTCCAGCTTCAATGAGTTTCAGACCTGTTGCAGCATCTGTCACTGCAAAACCTATCTGCAATGTAGAAAAATCTAATTAGTTCTTTCCAGGCTAATTAGCCCCAATGTACATTTCAACTTTGATATTTTATTCTGTCTAATGCCAGATGGTTTTAAACCAGGAAATAAGTTGTCGACAAATGCTCTCACCTTGATAAGTAAAATTGTCTAGCTTTAGTTGAGTAAAATAATAAAGTAGGGTGCAATCGGGGCAATTAAGTGCAACTTAATGGATTAACTCATGTAACTTTGTAATTTTACACTAGTGTTTGGTGTCTATGGATTAATTATAATAAAAACTACTTGCAACTACCTTTATAGTAAGAAGTATGACCATAAATTGCTGTACATTTGGTAAACAAATAATCTTCCAAGCAGTCTTATATGCTGCAGTTACACCGTGTTTGACAACGTCGTCTTTCTCATGTTTAAAAATCCAGACTAATGTCGTCGTTACAATAAACAACAAGCCCCAAAATAACAAGAAATCAGATATTTTTATTATGCCAGTTTGTTGTGGTGTAGACCTCAGGTATTTGTTAGCGAGGTCAGGAGATGTTAGTGCTAGAAAACAAATATTCCCCAAGAAGTACCCGGCAGTTTGGCCGACAGAGTTACATGTTGAAGCATATGCAACATTCTTGGTAGACAGCATCGTCAATGCCCAGCCATCAGTTGCGATATCTTGTGTTGCCGCAAGGAAACACAATGAGAAAAACAAAGCTGTTAGTTTATAAACATTGATTGCTGTGTCTTTATTGTCTTGACCCAGCAAAGCATCTGCCTCCTAAAATAATTGATAATTTATTTAATGAAGAGAACATGGTGATACATGTGCTTGACAGAAGAGTTCAATATAGTCCTGAAGCTTCATCAGACATGATTGGGTACTTAATAAGGGAGCTTAATTAAGCAAATGACATTTTTGTCAACACAGACGTCAGATTGTGGGGGGACCGGATTAAGGGCTATGATGCAAAATGGTGCCAAAATTAGTTATACCAATTTCCGGGGGACGTCCGTGTCACAGAATAAAAATCCATACAGAAGGGCCACTTATACGTCGGAAGCTTTAAGTTTCTGTCCTCGCGCATGTCGCATTATGCATGATGGTTGCCATTTTCCTAGCCGGTCAATGACATTTTCCGGCCAATAAACACACTGTACTGGCTGCTCCGCCTTCTGGCCAGTAAACTGCATATTTTTGCATAAAAAACGAGGACATGTTGCATCGCTGAGTGGCCCTTCTGTTACTTATCTTTATTCTGTGGTTCATGTTGACAAAACAAAATGTCACTTGTGGTCACTATTACATCTTGACTAAAATTGTAATGTGGCCATGTTGAAATGACAATTGGTGTAGAGAACAGTGGCACTGTGGCCGGGGGGCCCATGCCCCCCCTATTGTTGAGACCCGTCTTGCCCCCCCCCCAAAAAAAAAAACATGGGTCCCACGGCACCACTGGTAGAGAATTAAAAAGTGCCAGAGTTTGTCAAGAATGGCATATTTTCAAGGCTCCAACACAACTAGTTTGAAAGATCTGATGACTGATACACATCCCCCCTGACCAGGTGCTTGTCTCGCTTACCGATGATAACACAATAATAAACAAGCCAATCAAATACTGAGTTGGAATAAGCCAAGACTTTCGTCGACCCATACGTCTCGAGAACACAGAGTCAACTATTGGTGCCCACAGTAATTTGACACTAAATGGCCAGAATGCAAAACTAAACACAGCCTGGTCTTTGTAAACCACATGTCTGCTTTGAAGGATAAGAGGAATGCTGCCAGCGAGACCCAATGGCATGCCTTGTAGTATATACAGCAGTAATAATAATGCAATGCTCCCACGATCCTGTTTCATATTTTCTTTCTCTTTTGATAACTTTTCAGAGATCCTTTCAGGCCCATCCTCTTGCTGTATGACAGTCCTTCGTGAAATGGCCATGATTCCCGTTTGGAGAATAGGAAATATAGGTGCAGGAACCCCTATATAATACCTCAAGTTTTAAAAACTTTAGATATCACAATATAGTTTAAAATACAGTACAATCGATTTATCCCGTTTCTGGCCAAGACACTTTATTAAACATCATTTCATATACAAAATTAATCATCTGGTCCATTCGTTCATAATTATAATCTATGGTAATATTGAAATTTTCAAATAAAACGTGTCGAAATGTCACTGAACTGCAGCGATTTCGGGATAGAAGGGGATGAATCGGGTTGCTGATGGACAAATTTCCATCATCACCAATTACTATCACAAATCATCCCAAAATATCACACTTTATCCCACACGTGTTTTTGTGGAAAGGATCTCAGGAAGAGATTATTCGTTGGAGATTATTTCGTTCGTTTTCGACAATTTTCAGAAAGTTTGAAGAAGGAAATTAATTAAGCCTATTTTGAATTTTTAAAAATTTTCCGTAGTCCCTCGTTATTAGGGCCTTATATCAGTTATCTGACTCAAGATTTGCCTGTGGTCCCCTCTCTGCGTTTTCCGTTCTTCTCGCGGAATTTCTGAGTTTAAAAGATTCGGGGGTTCTTCGATTCTGGGATTAAAGATTCGGGGGTTCTTCGATTCTGAATTTAAAAGTTCGGGGGTTCTTCGATTCTGGGTTAAAGATTCGTGGGTTCTTTGATTCCGAGTTTAAAGATTCAGGGGGGTTTTCGATTCCAAGTTTAAAGTTCGGGGGTTTTTCGATTGCGAGTTTAAAGATTCTGGGTTTTTTTCGATTCCTAGTTTAAAGATTCGGGTTTTTTTCGATTCCTAGTTTAAGGATTCGGGTTTTTTTTTCGATTCCAAGTTTAAAGATTAGGGGGTTTTTCGATTGCAAGTTTAAAGATTCGGGTTTTTTTTCGATTCCTAGTTTAAAGATTCGGAGGGTTTTCGATTCCGAGTTTAAAGATTCGGGGGGTTTTCCAGTCCGGATTTAAAAGTTTTGGCTTTTTCTGTTCTGGGTTTTATAGATTCCGGGTTTTTCCATTCCAGATTTAAAGATATAGTTTCCGGCTTTTTCTGTTCCAGATTTTAAAGATTCCGGGTTTTCGATTTCGGTTTTATAGATTCCGTCTTGTTCCATTCCGGTTTTATAGATATCGGCTTTTCTATTCCGGATTTTAAAGACTTTAGCTTTTTCTGTTCCAGGTTTTAAAGATTCCGGCCTTTCCCGTTCCAAGTTCTAAAGTTTCCGGGTCTAATTTCGCGTTTCCCGTTCGGTTCCTCATTCCGTTGTTCAATTACCCTGGATATTCAATTAAAATTAAGCATTCCAAACCCCAAGGGAGTTAGACCAATGCATGCGTTCAGCAGTAGCCAATGATAGCAAAGCCTTTGCAAGCTAAACCAATCAGAGCTCGTAAAAATCTGACAACAGCAGACGAAGGTGTGGTTTACGCATTCGTGGCAAATTTGAATATTTCTGCTCGAGGCCACATTTTGACTCGAAGTTCAGAATAGTACACAATTAGTTAGTGCCACAAAACTTCGCTTTCGTAAACCTTTTTCGAAATAAAATTGGTATGCCTTGCAGAGAGAAAGGTCAGTATTAAATTTAGCTATTCTTTTAACGTTTTTGAGTTGTTCTTGTTAAGATATTGCTGTTTTTGAAACACGTTTGTATAAATATTCATTGTATTAATTTGAGTTGAATTCGATTGCCATTCAAGCGCTTCGTTACGGCGCTTAGTCGCTTTATTTCCTTGGCGTTTCTCCCTCATTTTTAGCAGTAATGTTCATAAATACCCCAGTTTTGATTTATGTAACTCATATTTAGTTTATATGCGATTTCAGGGCGAAAATTTGAAGAGAAAGTGAACTAATTTAAGTCGCCGACGTGGTCGAAAGGCGAAGTACTTGGTAAGTATAATGTCCACACTTCTTGTTTTTTTTTTTCGTTTTTAAGCTTCCCTTACAGGCTTATACACCTAGAACGTCTTCTAGCAAAGTCTTGTAGCTTTATGAACACTCTCTGTCAAATTTAGCTAAAATTTTGTTGAAAATTTTGTCCGTAAGAGCGAAATGCAGACGCATTTTAGGCATGTTCAATTCGACATGCATTTCAAACATTCTAGCTTCTACAAACTTGTCGTTTATGACATGTGTCTATATACAAATTGTACTCTGAGAGGGAAGGCTAAGCCTAAGCTTTTGAGTTTTTTTGAGCTTGTCTAAGTTGAATTTTAATCCAAATCTTTTGAAGAAGTTCAGAGATGAAATTTCCTCGTGGTTCATGCCCTAATTTTATGCATACATTCTTTAATATTAAAATAAATTGAATTGGACAACCACACCCTGTGTAAACGACATTAAATAACTCTTCGCCGTTTTGAAACTAAAAGTTAATTATCCAATTTTTTTAGATTGCCTCAAGCTCGATCATTCTGACGGCAAACAGTACAGAAAGACCTCTGCACAGATTTGAGGAGACGCTCGCCCAGCAGTTGAAGCAAAACGAGAAGGCAAAGGTGAAATGATATGCCTGAAAAATACAACTTAATTAACACCATAGTCTGACAGTGAGGGAACGCTCGAAAGCAGATACACCCATCATCAGATTTCGCTCAGCCAGCCAATGGTGACATAGTGTCAAGACCTGTCAAGCCACGACGCCGTACCATCCAGAAACCAAAACCAACGCGCCACACCAACCAGCCTATGAGATAGCCGTGAAAGATGGTGTACATTACAAAAGGTCGTTCGTCGTGTTCGAAAGTACGTGGGGACCACCCTGAGGACACCCAAATGCACAAAACAAATTTAAATGTGGCACTTTTCACCTTAATTTCGCAATTTATTCAAATTTTTCACATTTTTTGGTGTTTGTGAAAAGCTCTTAACGAAATCGAAATGTTTGAAATTCGAAAGGTTCTATCTGGGAGTTTGTTTATTTGAAAGATATTTGAAATGAAATTTTGAAATTTACATCACTTTGGTATTTGGTTTAAACGCTAGGTAAAATCATGCCAGATGAGTGGCCGACCATTCGTCGAGGTTCGGTGATACTTTGGCTCGGACTTTCCCGACCTACAGTCGAGTTGCTCTGATCGATTGCCGTGATCAACTAGCACAGGTGCAAGGTCTGGCCAACCTTACATCAGTGCTTTTTGTTCGTGTCATGAGATTGGGGCAGCTCGCTTGTAGGCCTTGAAAGATCAAGCGGAAGTACCACCAAACTTTGATTTGTGACCGGTTTTTTGTCTGTATGGCTTTATCCAGCGTTTTCCCCGTTACTATTTTGATGTAGACTTTGGGATTTTGGCTTGAATATCTTTAATTTAAACATTCTTTGAGCTTTAATCTTTCAAGAATTTCATGGTTTTGACTAGTTAATGTGTTGCTCGTAGATACTATAATTGTATTAAAAATATTGACGAAAAAATTTAAAACTGACCAAAACGTCATTTGAGGTGTCGGATAGGAGGTCCAGTGGGAGTCGTAGCGTATGTCAATGGATAAATCTGGACTACTTTGACACTGTGTGCAATTGGAGATATTGTGAACATTTATGGATAATTGGGAACATTAATGGATTACAACAAACACTTATGGATTATTATGAACATTTGTGGATAAAATGCACCTCGCGATCGACGGTTACTTACCAATGTACCTTGACAACGAAAGCTGCACGACGGCAACGAGATGACTGCCTCAAGGTTAGAGGGTTTAGTCTGATAACAAGCAGTCGTTAGCTTGTTATCAGGCAGTAGTTAGCCTGCTATCAGGCAGTAGTTAGCCTGCTGACAGGCAGTATATCTGTACGATTCATACCCAGGACTCTAATTTGCATGTGGTCGATGAAGTCTCTGGGTTAACCGATTTAAAATTCCTGGCGGTCTGTCGCTAGTAGTACATTTGCACGCAAGGTTGATTTTTATTCGGATGCTTGCATGCTAAAAATTGAGGTACAATTTTTTACCTCAGTTAATAAGAATTTCGACATCATCTGAATCGAAAGTCAATCTTAAAGAGGTTAACGTTTGAGCCTTCGGTCACGTGGTTCGTTGTATGCACTCGGTTTGGTCATTGGTGGGTTTCAGTAAGTGTTACAATCCAAATGATGGTCAATATCGGAAATATTGACACTTCTGGAGCAATTCAATTGCTTCAAATACAAGACTACTACATAAAGTAAAAAAGAGTGGACATTATTTGATTGAAAAGCTGGCATAGTTTTTCTTGGGTAGGATAACTAAACTGGGTGCAAATGGTATCCATAGCTTAGAGGGTGCAAATGGTACCCGTAAGAAGATTGGTGGATCGTTGTGGACAAGAATTTTTGAAAGATTTGGTTTCTCTCCGGGTACTCCGGGTTTCCACTAAAGATCAGCTTAGGACTGTAATGACATAATTATTGTAATGATAAATAGTCTAGGGCTTTGTGAATAATAAATTGGCGGTAAATTGTCGTGGAAAGGTGTATCTTTCATCGCCCGTAGTGCATGTATATCGCTGGTTTCGAACGTTAGTTTTCTGCTCCGGGTTATATGAAAACAGTTCGCTACCAGAGATTAGGTTTCCTCTCTGTCATGACGGCTCAACGACTTCATGGAAGACAATTAACATAAGGCATGCTAATCTTACCCCTGTTTGTGGAAGCTCGCCAGGTGCGATGGCACACTAGGTTAAGTTAAGCTAGGGGCATGACCGAGACTCCACATTCGGGGGTTTCCCTTGCAGGTTTTTGAAGGGTATGTGCGCGCGCACACTAGTTAGGAAGGTTAGGCAGCTAGAAATAGGGCGCTTTTGCTCTTTTTGCATGTATACTATAAGGCATGTATACTATTAATAATTTGTTATCGTCATACTTTTGCGCCAGAAACTTTCTGTGAAGTATTTAACACAACAGGAAAATAGAATCTGTTTTCCTGCTGAAAAATACTTATAGAAACCAAATCAAAGTGGAAACTAAAGGAAATATTGCGAAAAAAAAAAGAAAAAAGAAAACCGCGAAGCCACTTTGAATATAAGCAACAATAGTCCAAGATTACTCGCTGCAGAAAAAACAAACAAAAAAGAAACCATTTTCTGCCTAAAATATCTTGGATTAGGGGCTTAACGATAAGAAACGTAGTTCTCGCTCCAAAGTGGAGAATGGGCTCGTTTCTTTAGGTTGCTAATGCATTGCGCGCGCGCTTTATAAATCCTACTACAGGTTTTAAGTTGTAAAGACCGCCAGGAAAAATAGAGTGTTTTTATGTGTTGCTTTGTTCACGGACAAGTTTTCAAAATAATGGTTTTCTTGTTTCTTTGTCATTTCGGCATTTTAACTTGTTCCCAAACATAGCCGCCGTGAAAACACTTTGCAAACCAAGTTTATATATGGCCGCAATAGCAATATAGAATGCTTGCCATGTTGCATTCCGTGTTGTCTTGCACTTGCACATACATAAGCTTGGTCGAACCATGGATCATAAAAACACCATGGTCGAACGCAGTTAATTAACATAAGCGGCGCGCGTGCTGCTGTAATGCGGAGTACAGTCAGTGAGTGTACTCTATATGCAAATAGTGAAGTGTGCTCTATATGGTCTTGAAACAAAGTTTCATGCGCAAAGTTTCATGCTTCTTAAAATTCAACGCGCTAAGTTGCATGCTTGGTAAGATTATTAAGGGCATGAAAATCAGTGCATGCTATATTAATATTCAGTGCGCGCGTTGCAATTTTCTTGCGCGAGATAGCAAAAGGCGCCAAAAATTTAAATATAGAAATGCACACATCACATCTTGAAAATGCATCCAAGTGTCCTAACAACTTCTACAAACTATCGTAAAATATGTTGGGCCATTGGATTCATTTGCCACGCACCTTGTCCTGAACATATCTGAAGTATTTTTAGGTTTCAAGGTTAAGATAAATACACCTTATCTGGAACAATCTGTTCATAAAAAGGGATATTTGTCTTGCGCAATTTGTAGACTAAATTTTCGGGTGGTCTACAATGTTTTATTTGAACATCTTGCGAGATTTTTTTTTGTTTTCTTTTTTTTTCAAGATTTTTACTTTTCTGGATTTCAGTAGGTATGGGGTAGGTATGGTATATTATAGTTAATTGGGTTTTCCCTGGGGTTTTCGGCAATTTTTCGGTTTCGATCCGGACGCATAATCGCCAAGGTTTTTCACCAGATTTCGCCATGCACAGCAACCGTCTATGGCACTTCTGGTTTTCCTCGGGTGATTATGTATTTTTTCGTTTGGCAAAATATCCAAAATTCCAAAACAAAAAACAGTGTCCGTGTTCGGGACGAATTTAGTACTGTATAAAAAAAAGGACTATTCAGCTGTTGTATATTTTCATGTTCGTTACAGAGTGCATGTGTCTTTATATTCTGTGAATGGAGTTGCATTCTCCGAAATATACGCAGTAATTATAATTACACATTGTTAGACCCCTCTTTCTATATTTTAATAACTTTATTTGCGAAGGGGAAGCCATCTACATAACTCAGACATATGTTATTTTTCTCAACAAACAATGTTTTGTATTAAGTAATTTACAATGGACCATTCCAGAAAACATCGTACCTCCCCCATGCAGAAAATTAAATTCACCCCTCTTTGCATGTCCCAGTACATTTACTATTACTAAAAACAACCCTTTCCCCCTTGGGGATAGGGTCGACGTTTTTGGAACGACTAAAGTTTGCTGAAATACAAAGTTGTTCATTAAATAAAATTTTCTCACCAGTGTAAAACCAGACAATTAAATTTCCTGATCTATACAGTCACTGATTTGGTCGGTCTTGAAAATAGTACTTGTTCGTTTCCGGGTTAAATTCCCAGAACACTGTAAACTAGTTCTCAAAAAGTAATATTTGTACTTAAATAATGACATGTTCTCGCAAAAGTTCGCAACGCCCCTTTATATTCCTGAAACTCAAGCAGTCCAGCAAATACATAATATACATATAATATACTTAATATAACTTAACATACATATAATATACTTAATATTATACATATGTATTCACTTAAATCTATGTTAAGAAAACATTTAAAAATGTGCATAAAGCCTGGTTTCCATTTGACCGTTAGTTGTCGCGCACGACAAGTGGCTGATGTAATAGAGTGTCAACAAAAAACTCTGCAATCATTAAGACTGATTTGCATATCACACAAAAAGACTATTATTATATTGGACTATTTCACATCTACCGCTTGTCGTGCCAGCGACAACTAACGACCAAATGGAAACTAGGCTTAAAGTAATTAAAGTTTGCCTCACTTTGCTTTCTAGTACTTTATTGGGTGTAGCAATACAATCACATAACCATGTGAACAGTTCCCAAGTGTGCATCAAGATTACTTTATAACAATTTTTGCAATTTAATCTGCTTTCAAATCTCTCATTTTCATTGTGTTTTAACATGAATCTCACTACTTTTGTACCCTTGACTGCAAGTCAAGATCGAATTAAATTACTTAACAATCATAACACAGAGGTAACAGATGAAGACCATTCTGTCTCGGTACGTAACGTCTCCCACCTTAACTTTCATTCAGTGGCATGCCTTTGCACCAGTTCCAATTCGATCTTCTGGGAACAATGGTGAGGCGACCATACTTCACTAGTGTGGCAAAGTTGTGACTTCACGTGAGCCAAATATAATGTTCGCTTTAATACCACAACATCATTAAGAGAGGACAGGTTCTCTAAAGCAACCCCAGCATTCTATTTCCTTTCGCAGTTTATATTCTATGAATGTGGGTGTCGAGGTTTTTAAAATTATACTCCGAGATCGCGACTTTGTCAATTTTCATAAATGGACATAAACAGCAAAAAAGTAAGGCTATAGCCTTAACTTTTCGTCCATTTTTAGCCACTTTTTCGATTTTTGAAAAAGGGCCAAAAATACCAAAAAAGATAGGCTATAGGCTTAACTTTTTCGTCCATTTTTAGCACATTTGTCATTTTTCATAAATGGGCAAAAAACAGCAAAAAAGTAAGGCTATAGCCTTAATTTTTCGTCCATTTTTCGCGACTTTGTCAATTTTCATAAATGGACATAAGCAGCAAAAAAGTAAGACTATAGCCTTAACTTTTCCCCCATTTTTAGCCACTTTTTCGGTTTTTGAAGAAGGGGCGAAAAATAGCAAAAAAGATAGGCTAGAGCCTTAACTTTTCGTCCATATTTAGCCACTTTTTCGATTTTTGAAAAAGGGCCAAAAATAGCAAAAAAGATAGGCTATAGGCTTAACTTTTCGTCCATTTTTAGCAACATTTGTCATTTTTCATAAATGGGCAAAAAACAGCAAAAAAATAAGGCTATAGCCTTAACTTTTCGCCCATTTTTAGCCACTTTTTCGATTTTTGAAAAAGTGGCAAAAATAGCAAACAAGATAGGCTATAGCCTTAACCTTTCCTCCATTTTTAGCCACTTTTTCAATTTTAAAAGACGGGGCGAAAAATAGCAAAAAAGTAAGGCTATAGCCTTAACTATTCGTCCATTTTTAGCGACTTTGTCAATTTTTATGAATGGACAAAAAACAGCAAAAAAATAAGGCTATAGCCTTAACTTTTCGCCCATTTTTAGCCACTTTTTCGATTTTTGAAAAAGTGGCAAAAATAGCAAAAAAGATAGGCTATAGCCTTAACTTTTCGTCCACTTTTAGCCACTTTTGTCAATTTCCATAAATGGGAAAAAAACAGCCACTTTTTCGATTTTAAAAGAAGGGGCGAAAAATAGCAAAAAAATAAAGCTATAGCCTTAACTTTTCGTCCATTTTTAGCGACTTTGTCAATTTTCATGAATGGACAAAAAATAGCAAAAAAAGATAGGCTATAGCCTTAACTTTTCGTCCATTTTTAGCCACTTTTTCGATTTTTGAAAAAGGGGATAAAACAGCAAAAAAGATAGGCTATAGCCTTAACTTTTCGTCCATTTTTAACGACTTTGTCAATTTTCATAAATGGACAAAAAACAGCAAAAGAGTAAGGCTATAGCCTTAACTTTTCGCCCATTTTTAGCCACTTTTTCGATTTTTGAAAAAGGGGATAAAACAGCAAAAAAGATAGGCTATAGCTTTAACTTTTCGTCCATTTTTAACCACTTTTTTGATTTTTGAAAAAGGGGCGAAAAATACCAAAAAAGTAAGGCTATAGCCTTAACTTTTTGTCCATTTTTAGCGACTTTTGTCAATTTTTATAAATCGGAAAAAAAAACAACAAAAAAGTAAGGCTATAGCCTTAACTTTTCGTCCATTTTTAGCCACTTTTCGAGTTTTGAAAAAGGGGAAAAAACAGCAAAAAAATAGGCTATAGCCTTAACTTTTCGTCCATTTTTAGCGACTTTGTCAATTTTCATAAATAAACAAAAAACAGCAAAAAAGTAAGGCTATAGCCTTATCTTTTCGTCCATTTTTAGCCACTTTTTGATTTTTGAAAAAGGGACGAAAAATACCAAAAAAGTAAGGCTATAGCCTTAACTTTTCGTCCATTTTTAGCGACTTTTGTCAATTTCCATAAATCGGGAAAAAAAAAAAAAGTAAGGCTATAGCCTTATCTTTTCGTCCATTTTTAGCGACTTTTGTCAATTTCCATAAATGGGCAAAATACAGCAAAAAAGTAAAGCTATAGCCTTAACTTTTCGTCCATTTTTAGCGACTTTGTCAATTTTCATAAATGGACAAAAAACAGGAAAAAAGTAAGGCTATAGCCTTATCTTTTCGTCCATTTTTAGCCACTTTTTCAATTTTAAAAGACGGGGCGAAAAATAGCAAAAAAGTAAGGCTATAGCCTTAACTTTTCGTCCATATTTAGCCACTTTTTCGATTTTTGAAAAAGGGGCGAAAAATAGCAAAAAGTAAGGCTATAGCCTTAACTTTTCGTCCATATTTAGCCACTTTTTCGATTTTTGAAAAAGGGGAAAAAACAGCAAAAAAGATAACCTATAGCCTTAACTTTTCGTCCATTTTTAGCGACTTTGTCAATTTTCATAAATGGACAAAAAACAGGAAAAAAGTAAGGCTATAGCCTTATCTTTTCGTCCATTTTTAGCCACTTTTTCGATTTTTGAAAAAAGGGAAAAATAGCAAAAAGCTAGGCTATAACCTTAACCTTTAATTTTAAAAGACTGGGCGAAAAATAGCAAAAAAGTAAGGCTTTAGCCTTAACTTTTCGTCCATTTTTATCGACTTTGTCAATTTTCATAAATGGCCAAAAAACAGCAAAAAAGATAGGCTATAGCTTTAACTTTTCGTCCATTTTTAGCGACCTTTGTCGTTTTTCATAAATCGGGAAAAAACAGCAACAAAGTTCTTACTTTTTTTCTGTTTTTTGCTCATTTTTAGCCACTTTTTAAATTTTTTAGCTGGTTTTCGTCCATTTTCAGCCACTTTTTCGATTTTTGAAAAAGGGGCAAAAATAGCAAAAACGATAGGCTATAGGCTTAACTTTTCATCCATTTTTAGCCACTTTTTCGATTTTAAAAGAGCGGGCGAAAAATAGCAAAAAATAAGGCTATAGCCTTAAATTTACGTCCATTTTTAGCGACTTTTATCAATCTCCATAAATGGGAAAAATCAGCAAAAAAGTAAGCCTTTTCGTCCATTTTTAGCGACTTTTGTCATTTTCCATAAATGGGCAAAAACAACAAAAAAGGAAAGCTATAGCATTAAATTTTCGTCCATTTTAGCCACTTTTTCGATTTTTGAAACAGGAGAGACGAGGTGGAGTTAAGTATAATAACAAAGAAGTTAAAGCAACTGTAAGCGTGATGGTCTAGTGGTAAGAACAAAGTGTTGCAAGTGCGTCATGCCAGGTTCGATTTCTGGTTGTGTCAAGAACATTTTAATGTCCGATGTTGTTGTTAATTAATTCCACCCGAAACGAGGAAGAGTTAAGTACAATAAAAAAGTAGTTAAAGCAACTGTAGGCGTGATGGTCTAGTGGTAAGAACAAAGTGTTGCAAGTGCGTCATGCCAGGTTCGATTTCTGGTTGTGTCAAGAACATTTTAATGTCCGATGTTGTTGTTAATTAATTCCACCCGAAACGAGGAAGAGTTAAGTACAATAAAAAAGTAGTTAAAGCAACTGTAGGCGTGATGGTCTAGTGGTAAGAACAAAGTGTTGCAAGTGCGTCATGCCAGGTTCGATTTCTGGTTGTGTCAAGAACATTTTAATGTCCGATGTTGTTGTTAATTAATTCCACCCGAAACGAGGAAGAGTTAAGTACAATAAAAAAGTAGTTAAAGCAACTGTAGGCGTGATGGTCTAGTGGTAAGAACAAAGTGTTGCAAGTGCGTCATGCCAGGTTCGATTTCTGGTTGTGTCAAGAACATTTTAATGTCCGATGTTGTTGTTAATTAATTCCACCCGAGACGAGAAAGAGTTAAGTGCAATAAAAAAGGAGTTAAAGCAAGTGCTGGCATGATGGTCTAGTGGTAAGGACAAAGTGTTGCGGGTTAGTGAAGCCAGTTTCGATTCCTGGTCGTGTCAAGAGCATTTTAATGTCCGATGTTGTTGTTTTAATTCCACCCGAAACGAGAGAGAGTTGAGTACAATAAAAACGTAGTTAAAGCAACTGTAGGCGTGATAGTAAAGGACAAAGTGTTGCAAGTGCGTGATGCCAGATTCGATTCTTGGTTGTTAAGTAGAAATACACGCTAGAATAAACGAGATTCGCACGGTCTTAAAATTGCATTTTTGGAATCTACAATTTTGCTTTCGAATCTTATGTTCTATTGAATTCCAAGGCAACTTGTAGCAAAAACTAGAATTTGGCACAGGTCTGAAAATTGCATTTTTAGAATCAACGATCAATAGGTTTCCTGTCGATGCCCCATTCGTCCATAAATATACAGGTTTTGGTATGAAAAGCACGTTTTTCCAGCTGTATAATCGAAAAAAACGTGAAGGTTAATATTATGTGCTTTCGAATCTTATGTTCTATTGAATTTCCAGGCTCCTGTAGAAGAAACTTGAATTTGGGCTGGTCTTTAAGTTGTATTTTTGGAATCAATGATCAACAGGCTATCTGCCGATGCCTCACTCATGCTTAACTAGATTTGTCCGTCGAAGCAACGGCCGATTTTACCAGCTGTGTAATCGAAAAAAATGTGAAAGTTAATATTATGCGCCTTCGAATCTTATGTTCTATTAAACTCCAAGGCAACTTGTAGCAAAAACTAGAATTTGGCACGGTCTGAAAATTGCATTTTTAGAATCTACTAACAATAGGTTTCCTGCCGATGCCCCATTCGTCCATAAATATACAGTTTTTGGATATGAAAAGCACGTTTTTCCAGCTGTATAATCGAAAAAGACGTGAAGGTTAACATTATGTGCTTTCGAATCTTATGTTCTATTGAATTTCCAGATTCCTGTAGAAGAGACTTAAATTTGGGCTGGTCTTTAAGTTGTATTTTTGGAATCTATTATGTACAGGTTATCTGCCGACGCCTCACTCATGCCTAACTAGATTTGTCCGTGGAAGTAACGGCCGGTTTTTCCAGCTGTGTAATCGGAAAAAATGTGAAAGTTAATATTATGCGCTTTCAAATCTTATGTTCTATTGAACTCCAAGGCAACTTGTAGCAAGAACTAGAATTTGGCACGGTCTGAAAATTGCATTTTTAGAATCAACGATCAATAGGTTTCCTGTCGATGCCCCATTCGTCCATAAATATACAGTTTTTGGTATGAAAAGCACGTTTTTCCAGCTATATAATCGAAAAAAAACGTGAAGGTTAATATTATGTGCTTTCGAATCTTATGTTCTATTGAATTCCAAGGCAACTTGTAGCAAAAACTAGAATTTGGCACGGTCTGAAAATTGCATTTTTGGAATCTACGATCAATAGGCTTCCTGCCGATGCCTCATTCGTTCATAAATATACAGTTTGTGAATACGAAAAGCACGTTTTCCCAGCTGTATAATCGAAAAAGACGTGAAGGTTAATATTATGTGCTTTCCAATCTTATGTTCTATTGAATTTCCAGGCTCCTGTAGAAGAGACTTGAATTTGGGCTGTTCTTTAAGTTGTATTTTTAGAATCTATGATCAACAGGCTATCTGCCAATGCCACACTCATGCCTAACTAGATTTGTCCGTGGAAGCAACGGCCAATTTCACCAGCTGTGTAATCGAAAAAAATGTGAAAGTTAATATTATGCGCTTTCGAATCTTATGTTCTATTAAATTCCAAGGCAACTTGTAGCAAAAACTAGAATTTGGCACGGTCTAAAAGTTGCATTTTTGGAATCTACGATCAATAGGCTTCCTGTCGATGCTTCATTCGTCCATAAATATACAGTTTTTGGATATGAAAAGCAAGTTTTTCCAGCTGTATAATCGAAAAAGACGTAAAGGTTAATATTATGTGCTTTCGAATCTTATGTTCTATTGAATTCCAAGGCAACTTGTAGCAAAAACTAGAATTTGGCACGGTCTGAAAATTGCATTTTTGGAATCTACGATCAATAGGCTTCCTGCCGATGCCTCATTCGTTCATAAATATACAGTTTGTGAATACGAAAAGCACGTTTTTCCAGCTGTATAATCGAAAAAGACGTGAAAGTTAATATTATGTGCTTTCGAATCTTATGTTCTATTGAATTTCCAGGCTCCTGTACAAGAGACTTGAATTTGGGCTGTTCTTTAAGTTGTATTTTTAGAATCTATGATCAACAGGCTATCTGCCAATGCCACACTCATGCCTAACTAGATTTGTCCGTGGAAGCAACGGCCGATTTTACCAGCTGTGTAATCGAAAAAAATGTGAAAGTTAATATTATGCGCTTTCGAATCTTATGTTCTATTAAATTCCAAGGCAACTTGTAGCAAAAACTAGAATTTGCCACGGTCTAAACGTTGCATTTTTGGAATCTACGATCAATAGGCTTTCTGTCAATGCTTCATTCGTCCATAAATATACAGCTTTTGGATATGAAAAGCACGTTATTCCAGCTGTATAATCGAAAAAGACGTGAAGGTTAATATTATGTGCTTTTCAATCTTATGTTCTATTGAATTTCAAGGCAACATGTAGCAAAAACTAGAATTTGGCACGGTCTGAAAATTGCATTTTTGGAATCTACGATCAATAGGCTTCCTGTCGATGCCTCATTTGTTGATAAATATACAGTTTGTGGATATGAAAAGTACGTTTTTCCAGCTGTATAATCGAAAAAGACGTGAAGGTTAATTATTATGTGCTTTCGATCGAATCTTATGTTCTATTGAATTTCCAGGTTCCTGTAGAAGAGACTTGAATTTGGGCTGGCCTTTAAGTTGTATTTTTGGAATCTACGATTAACAGGCTATCTGCCGATACCTCACTCATGCCTAACTAGATTTGTCCGTGGAAGTAACGGCCGGTTTTTCCGGCTGTGTAATCGAAAAAAAATGTGAAAGTTAATATTATGCGCTTTCGAATCTTATGTTCTATTGAATTTCAAGGCAACTTGTAACAATAATTAGAAAATAGATTATGTAGAAATAAATATAGTTGCCTGCACTGAATAGATCTACTAGTCGAGTGGTCGTCTCTTGGTGTTGCATGCGGGAGAACTAAGGATCTATCCCTGTTGTTGTCCAAACCATTTTAATCTCAGGTGTTGTTGTTAATTAATTCCACCCGAGACGAAAAAGAGTTAAGTAGAATAAGAAAGAAGTTAAAGCAGTGTAGGCGAGATGTTCTAGTGGTATGGACAAAGTGTTGCAAGTGCGTGAAGCTATAGGTTCGAATCCTGCTGTAGTCAAAAAGCATTTTAATCTCAGGTGTTGTTGTTAATTAATTCCACCCGAGACGAGAAAGAGTTAAGTAGAATAAGAAAGAAGTTAAAGCAGTGTAGGCGAGATGGTCTAGTGGTAAGGACAAAGTGTTGCAAGTGTGTGACCCCAGTTTCGAATCCGGCTGTGGTCAAAAAGCATTTTGGGCCTCAACAAGTGTGTTCATTAATTATAGAGTCGAAGGGAAAATGATTAAGTAGAATAAAAAACATAACCATTTCACCAATAGCCCTGATGGTCTAGTGGTACCTCTAACGCGTGAAAAATCGTATCGGGGGACAATAGTAGGCGCGTTTGCTGCGCCGAATTTTCAGAGGTTAACACGGAGGAAGTGCTGACAAGATCATAAAAAACCAACCCTTCTTTTACTAATAAAAAGGTAAAGTTTTTTTAATAAAAAGTAAAGTTTTGGTGATAAGTGAAGTAAGACAAATGTGAAGTAAGACAGGTTAGTTACTAATTTTACTTACTAACTTGACTAACTAACTTACTATATATAATATATACTAACTTACTATATAGAATGTATATAAGAATTATAAGTCAAGTAAGTAAAGTAAGTAAGTAAAGTAAGTCAAGTAAGTCAAGTAAGTCAAGTAAGTAAAGTAAGTCGAGTAAGTAAGTCGAGTAAGTAAGTCAAGTAAGTAAGTAAAGCAAGTAAGTCAAGTAAGTAAAGTTTATACTCTTATATACACTCTATATAGTAAGTTAGTTAGTCAAGTAAGTCAAGTTAGTAAGTCAAGTATAATTCTTATATACACTCTATATAGTAAGTTAGTCTATATTATAGTAAGTCAAGTATAATTCTTATATACATTCTATATTACTATATAGAATGTATATAAGAATTATACTTGACCTACTATATATAATATAGACTAACTTACTATATAGAATGTTATTAGAATTATACTTGACTTACTAACTTACTATATATAATATAAACTAACTTACTATTACTACTATTTACTTACTTGACTTACTTGACTTACTTGACTTACTTTACTTACTTGACTTACTTGACTTACTTGACTTACTTGACTTACTTACTTGACTTACTTGACTTACTTGACTTACTTGACTGACTTACTTGACTTACTTACTTGACTTACTTGACTTACTTGACTTACTTGACTTACTTACTTGACTTACTTGACTTACTTGACTTACTTGACTTACTTGACTTGACTTACTTGACTTACTTGACTTACTTGACTTACTTGACTTACTTGACTTACTTGACTTACTTGACTTACTTGACTTACTTGACTTACTTGACTTAGTTTACTTACTTGACTTAGTTTACTTGACTTACTTTACTTACTTGACTTACTTGACTTACTTACTTACTTGACTTACTTACTTGACTTACTTGACTTAGTTTACTTACTTGACTTACTTACTTGACTTAGTTTACTTACTTGACTTAGTTTACTTACTTGACTTAGTTTACTTACTTGACTTACTTGACTTACTTGACTTACTTGACTTACTTGACTTACTTGACTTACTTGACTTACTTGACTTACTTGACTTACTTGACTTACTTGACTTACTTACTTGACTTACTTGACTTACTTGACTTACTTGACTTACTTGACTTACTTGACTTACTTGACTTACTTGACTTACTTGACTTACTTGACTTACTTGACTTACTTGACTTACTTGACTTAGTTTACTTACTTGACTTACTTACTTGACTTACTTACTTGACTTACTTTACTTACTTGACTTACTTGACTTACTTGACTTACTTGACTTAGTTTACTTAGTTTACTTACTTGACTTACTTACTTGACTTACTTACTTTACTTACTTTACTTACTTGACTTACTTACTTGACTTACTTACTTGACTTAGTTGACTTGACTTACTTGACTTAGTTGACTTACTTACTTGACTTAGTTGACTTACTTACTTGACTTGCTTACTAAGTAAGTCAGGTCAGTAAGTCAAGTTTTACTTACTAACTGAAGTAAAGTAAGTAAATTTAATAACTAACTTGTCTTACTTCACTTATATTCTTACTATTAAAGTAAGTAAATTTAATAACTAACTTGTCTTACTTCACGTAAGAATATATTCTTACTATTAAGATAGTTAGTCAAGTATAATTCTTATATACATTCTTCTTGTCTTACTTCACTTATCACCAAAACTTTACTTTTTATTAAAAAAACTTTACCTTTTTATTAGTAATTTTAGTTAAAGAAGGGTTGATTTTTTATGATCTTGTTAGCACTTCCTCCGTGTTAACCTCTGAAAATTCGGCGCAGCAAACGCGCCTACTATTGTCCCCCGATACGATTTTTCACGCGTTAGAGGTACCACTAGACCATCAGGGCTATTGGTGAAATGGTTATGTTTTTTATTCTACTTAACACTTTCTCGTCTCGGGTGGAATTAATTAACAACGACGCCTGACATTAAAATGCTTTTTGACTACAGCAGGATTCGAACCTATAGCTTCACACACTTGCAACACTTTGTCCTTACCACTAGACCATCTCCGCCTACACTTGCTTTAACTCTTTTTTATTCTACTTAACACTTTCTCGTCTCGGGTGGAATTGATTAATAACGACGCCCGGCACTAAAATGCTTTTTGACTACAGAAGGATTCGAACCTATAGCTTCACGCACTTGCAACACTTTGTCCATACCACTAGGCCATCTCGCCTACGCTGCTTTAACTTCTTTTTTATTCTACTTAACTCTTTCTCGTCTCGGGTGGAATTAATTAACAACGACGCCTGACATTAAAATGCTCTTGGCACAACCACGACTTGAACCTGGCTTCACGCACTTGCAACACTTTGTCCTTACCGCTAGACCATCTTGCCTACACTTGCTTTAACTTCTTTTTTATTCTACTTAACACTTTCTCGTCTCGGGTGGAATTAATTAACAACGACGCCTGACATTAAAATGCTTTTTGACTACAGCAGGATTCGAACCTATAACTTCACGCACTTGCAACACTTTGTCCATACCACTAGGCCATCTCGCCTACGCTGCTTTAACTTCTTTTTTATTCTACTTAACTCTTTCTCGTCTTGGGTGGAATTAATTAACAACGACGCACGGCATTAAAATGCTCTTGGCACAACCACGACTTGAACCTGGCTTCACGCACTTGCAACACTTTGTCCATACCACTAGACCATCTTGCCTACGCTTGCTTTAACTTCTTTTTTATTCTACTTAACACTTTCTCGTCTCGGGTGGAATTGATTAATAACGACGCCTGACATTAAAATGCTCTTGGCACAACCACGACTTCAACCTGGCTTCACACACTTGCAACACTTTGTCCTTACCACTAGACCATCTCCGCCTACACTTGCTTTAAATCTTTTTTATTCTACTTAACACTTTCTCGTCTCGGGTGGAATTAATTAACAACGACGCCTGACATTACAGCAGGATTCGAACCTATAACTTCACGCACTTGCAACACTTTGCCCGGTACGGGCAAATGAGGGCAGTTTTTGGATACGAAAAGCACGTTTTTCCAGTTGTATAATCGAAAAAGACGTGAAGGTTAATATTATGCGCTTTCGAATCTTATGTTCTATTGAATTCCAAGGCAACTTTTAGCAAAAACTAGAATTTGGCACGGTCTGAAAATTGCATTTTTGGAATCTACGATCAATAGGCTCCCTGTCGATGCCTCATTCGTCCATAAATATTCAGTTTTTGGATATGAAAAGCACGTTTTTCCAGCTGTATAATCGAAAAAGACGTGAAGGTTATCATTATGTGCTTTCGAATCTTATGTTCTATTGAATTTCCAGGTTCCTGTAGAAGAGACTTAAATTTGGGCTGGTCTTTAAGTTGTATTTTTGGAATCTATGATCAGCAGGCAATCTGCCGATGCCTCACTCATGCCTAACTAGATTTGTCCGTGGAAGTAACGGCCGGTTTTTCCAGCTGTGTAATCGAAAAAAATGTGAAAGTTAATATTATGCGCTTTCGAATCTTATGTTCTATTGAATTCCAAGCAACTTGTAGCAAAAACAAAATTTGGCACGGTCGGAAAATTGCATTTTTGGAATCTACGATCAATAGGCTTCCTGTCGATACCTCATTCGTCCATAAATATACAGTTTTTGGATATGAAAAACACGTTTTTCCAGCTGTATAATCGAAAAAGACGTGAAGGTTAATATTATGTGCTTTCGAATCTTATGTTCTATTGAATTTCCAGGCTCCTGTAGAAGAGACTTGAATTTGGGCTGGCCTTAAGTTGTATTTTTGGAATCTATGATCAACAGGCTATCGATATGCCGATGCCTCAGTCATGCCTAACTAGATTTGTCCGTGGAAGTAACGGCCGGTTTTTCCAGCTGCGTAATCGAAAAAAATGTGGAAGTTAATATTATGCGCTTTTGAATCTTATGTTCTATTGAATTCCAAGGCAACTTGTAGCAAAAACTAGAACAAATTAACAACAACATCGGACATTAAAATGTTCTTGACACAACCAGGAATCGAACCTGGCATGACGCACTTGCAACACGTTGTTCTTACCACTAGACCATCACGCCTACAGTTGCTTTAACTTCTTTGTTATTATACTTAACTCTTCCTCGTTTCGGGTGAAATTATTTAACAACAACATTGGACATTAAAATGCTCTTGACACGACTAGGAATCGAACCTGGCATGACGCACTTGCAACACTTTGTTCTTACCACTAGACCATCATGCCAGCACTTGCTTTAACTACTTTTTTATTCTACTCAACTCTTTCTCGTCTCGGGTGAAATTATTTAACAACAACATTGGACATTAAAATGGTCTTGACACAACCAGGAATCGAATCTGGGCTCACAAACTTGCAACACTTTGTCCTTACCACTAGACCATCACGCCTGCACTTGCTTTAACTCCTTTTCTATTCTACTTAACTCTTTCTCGTCTCGGGTGGAATTAATTAACAACAACACCGAACATTAACATGCTCTCTCCTGTTTCAAAAATCGAAAAAGTGGATAAAAATGGACGACAAACAGGAAAAAAAATCGAAAAAGTGGCTAAAAATGGGCCAATTTTTAACGACTTTGTCAATTTTCATCAATGGGCAAAAGCCACCAAAAATGGACGAAAAGTTAAGGCTATATATAGCCTTACTTTTTTGCTATTTTTCGCCCCTTCTTCAAAAATCGAAAAAGTGGCTAAAAATGGGCGAAAAGTTAAAGCTATAGCCTATCTTTTTTGCTATTTTTGCCCATTTTTCAAAAATCGAAAAAGTGGCTAAAAATGGACGAAAAGTTAAGGCTATAGCCTATCATTTTGCTATCTTTTCCCCTTTTTCAAAAATCGAAAAAGTGGCTTAAAATGACGAAAAGTTAAGGCTATAGCCTTACTTTTTGCCGTTTTTTGTCCATTTATGAAAATTGACAAAGTCGTTAAAAATGGACGAAAGTTAAGGCTATAGCCCTACTTTTTTGCTGTTTTTTGTCCATTTATGAAAATTGACAAAGTCGCTAAAAATGGACGAAAAGTTAAGGCTAAAGCCTTACTTTTTTGCTATTTTTCGCCCCGTCTTTTAAAATTGAAAAAGTGGCTAAAAATGGACGAAAAGTTAAGGCTATAGCCTTACTTTTTTGCTGTTTTTTGTCCATTTATGAAAATTGACAAAGTCGTTAAAAATGGAAGAAAAGTTAAGGCTATAGCTTTACTTTTTTGCTATTTTTCGCCCCTTCTTTTAAAATCGAAAAAGTGGCTGTTTTTTTCCCATTTATGGAAATTGACAAAAGTGGCTAAAAATGGACGAAAAGTTAAGGCTATAGCCTATCATTTTGCTATTTTTTCCCCTTTTTCAAAAATCGAAAAAGTGGCTAAAAATGGACGAAAAGCTAAGGCTATAATAGCCTTACTTTTTGCTGTTTTTTGTCCATTTATGAAAATTGACAAAGTCGCTAAAAATGGACGAAAAGTTAAGGCTATAGCCTATCGTTTTTGCTATTTTTCGCCCCTTCTTTTAAAATTGAAAAACTGGCTAAAAATGGACGAAAAGTTAAGGCTATAGCCTATCTTTTTTGCTACTTTTTCCCCTTTTTCAAAAATCGAAAAAGTGGCTAAAAATGGACGAAAAGTTAAGGCTATAGCCTTACTTTTTTGCTGTTTTTTGTCCATTAATGAAAATTGACAAAGTCGTTAAAAATGGAAGAAAAGTTAAGGATATAGCTTTACTTTTTTGCTATTTTTCGCCCCTTCTTTTAAAATCGAAAAAGTGGCTGTTTTTTTCCCATTTATGAAAATTGACAAAGTCGCTAAAAATGGACGAAAAGTTAAGACTATAGCCTTACTTTTTTGCTATTTTTCGCCCCTTTTTTTAAAATTGACAAAAGTCGCTAAAAATGGACGAAAAGTTAAGGCTATAGCCTTACTTTTTTGCTATTTTTCGCCCCTTCTTTTAAAATCGAAAAAGTGGCAAAAAATGGACGAAAAGTTAAGGCTATAGCCTATCTTTTTTGCAATTTTTTCCCCTTTTTCAAAAATCGAAAAAGTGGCTAAAAATGGACGAAAAGTTAAGGCTATAGCCTTACTTTTTGCTGTTTTTTGTCCATTACGAAAATTGACAAAGTCGTTAAAAATGGACGAAAAGTTAAGGCTATAGCCTTACTTTTTTGCTATTTTTCGCCCCTTTTTCAAAAATCGAAAAAGTGGCTAAAAATGGACTAAAAGTTAAGGCTATAGCGTTACTTTTTTGCTGTTTTTTGTCCATTTATGAAAATTGACAAAGTCGCTAAAAATGGACGAAAAGTTAGACTATAGCCTTACTTTTTTGCTATTTTTCGTCCCTTCTTTTAAAATTGAAAAAGTCGCTAAAAATGGACGAAAAGTTAAGGCTATAGCCTATTTTTTTGCTATATTTCGCCCCTTCTTTTAAAATTGAAAAAGTGGCTAAAAATGGAGGAAAGGTTAAGGCTATAGCCTATCTTTTTTTACTATTTTTTCGCCTTTTTCAAAAATCGAAAAAGTGGCTAAAAATGGACGAAAAGTTAAGGCTATAGCCTTACTTTTTTGCTGTTTTTTGTCCATTTATGAAAATTGACAAAGTCGTTAAAAATGGAAGAAAAGTTAAGGATATAGCTTTACTTTTTTGCTATTTTTCGCCCCTTCTTTTAAAATCGAAAAAGTGGCTGTTTTTTCCCCATTTATGAAAATTGACAAAGTCGCTAAAAATGGACGAAAAGTTAAGACTATAGCCTTACTTTTTTGCTATTTTTCGCCCCTTCTTTTAAAATCGAAAAAGTGGCTAAAAATGGACGAAAAGTTAAGGCTATAGCCTATTTTTTTGCTATATTTCGCCCCTTCTTTTAAAATTGAAAAAGTGGCTAAAAATGGAGGAAAGGTTAAGGCTATAGCCTATCTTTTTTACTATTTTTTCGCCTTTTTCAAAAATCGAAAAAGTGGCTAAAAATGGACGAAAAGTTAAGGCTATTATAGCCTTACTCTTTTGCTGTTTTTTGTCCATTTATGAAAATTGACAAAGTCGTTAAAAATGGAAGAAAAGTTAAGGCTATAGCTTTACTTTTTTGCTGTGTTTTGCCCATTTATGGAAATTGACAAAAGTCGCTAAAAATGGACGAAAAGTTAAGGCTATAGCCTTACTTTTTGCTGTTTTTTGTCCATTTATGAAAATTGAGAAAGTCGTTAAAAATGGACGAAAAGTTAAGGCTATAGCCTATCATTTTGCTATTTTTTCCCCTTTTTCAAAAATCGAAAAAGTGGCTAAAAATGGACGAAAAGCTAAGGCTATAATAGCCTTACTTTTTGCTGTTTTTTGTCCATTTATGAAAATTGACAAAGTCGCTAAAAATGGACGAAAAGTTAAGGCTATAGCCTATCTTTTTTGCTATTTTTCGCCTCTTCTTTTAAAATCGAAAAAGTGGCAAAAAATGGACGAAAAGTTAAGGCTATAGCCTATCTTTTTTGCTACTTTTTCGCCTTTTTCAAAAATCGAAAAAGTGGCTAAAAATGGACGAAAAGTTAAGGCTATAGCCTATCTTTTTGCGGTATTTTGCCCATTTATGGAAATTGACAAAAGTGGCTAAAAATGGACGAAAAGTTAAGGCTATAGCCTTACTTTTTGCTGTTTTTGTCCATTTACGAAAATTGACAAAGTCGTTAAAAATGGACGAAAATTTAAGGCTATAGCCTTACTTTTTTGCTATTTTTCGCCCCTTTTTCAAAAATCGAAAAATTGGCTAAAAATGGACGAAAAGTTAAGGCTATAGCCTATTTTTTTGCTATATTTCGCCCCTTCTTTTAAAATTGAAAAAGTGGCTAAAAATGGAGGAAAGGTTAAGGCTATAGCCTATCTTTTTTACTATTTTTTCGCCTTTTTCAAAAATCGAAAAAGTGGCTAAAAATGAACGAAAAGTTAAGGCTATTATAGCCTTACTCTTTTGCTGTTTTTTGTCCATTTATGAAAATTGACAAAGTCGTTAAAAATGGAAGAAAAGTTAAGGCTATAGCTTTACTTTTTTGCTGTGTTTTGCCCATTTATGGAAATTGACAAAAGTCGCTAAAAATGGACGAAAAGTTAAGGCTAACTTTTCGTCCATTTTTAGCCACTTTTTCGAAAATTGAAAAAGGGGAAAAAATAGCAAAATGGCCTATCATTTTGCTATTTTTTCCCCTTTTTCAAAAATCGAAAAAGTGGCTAAAAATGGACGAAAAGCTAAGGCTATAATAGCCTTACTTTTTGCTGCTTTTTGTCCATTTATGAAAATTGACAAAGTCGCTAAAAATGGACGAAAAGTTAAGGCTATAGCCTATCTTTTTTGCTATTTTTCGCCTCTTCTTTTAAAATCGAAAAAGTGGCAAAAAATGGACGAAAAGTTAAGGCTATAGCCTATCTTTTTTGCTACTTTTTCGCCTTTTTCAAAAATCGAAAAAGTGGCTAAAAATGGACGAAAAGTTAAGGCTATAGCCTATCTTTTTGCGGTATTTTGCCCATTTATGGAAATTGACAAAAGTGGCTAAAAATGGACGAAAAGTTAAGGCTATAGCCTTACTTTTTGCTGTTTTTGTCCATTTACGAAAATTGACAAAGTCGTTAAAAATGGACGAAAATTTAAGGCTATAGCCTTACTTTTTTGCTATTTTTCGCCCCTTTTTCAAAAATCGAAAAATTGGCTAAAAATGGACGAAAAGTTAAGGCTATAGCCTTACTTTTTTGCTGTTTTTTCCCCATTTTTCCAGGCGCTGAGGACGAGGTTCCTAGCGCTGAGGACAAGGTTCCTGGCGCTGAGGACAAGGTTCGTGGCGCTGAGGACGAGGTTCGTGGCGCCGAGGAGGTTCCTGGCGCTGAGGACAAGGTTCCTCGCGATGAGGACAAGTTTCCTGGCGCTGAGGAGAAGGTTCCTGGCGCTGAGGACACGCGCGGAGGTTGTCGTACATTCTCGTCACTCAAACTTGTAAGTTATGATGTAGTTTTTAACTAACAGGTAAAGAAATGAGAGAACTTCAAGCGTAGATACTGTACGATGCATTAAACATAGTCTTAATAAACCTATTATTATTATGGTATTTTATGAGAATCTAGTTTTCCGTGAAATTGCTTTTTTAAGTGAATCGTGAAACGGCTTTTTTTCGTTGTGAAACGTGATCCATACCCCCCCTTCCCACCCTCGGGAAATCGTCTCACAATGCAGGGAATAACAGTGTCCTCCAAAAAAGTGAGGCTTTTTTCATTATTTTTAGAAGAAGAGTCTAATTGAAATTCTTTTGAATTGGAACACCAACATGGGGTCTGTGACGTCATGTGCAAACGCTTTATACTAGAGTTAAGGGATTAAAATAAGCTAAGAGTAAGCGATTAGCCAGTAATGGTTATGTACTGTAGGCTCAAATGTTGACGAAATATTAAGTGGTTTATATAGCCAGTGGCAGTAACGGTCAGGTTTCACTCTTCGTCAACGAATTAATAATACTCCTTCTTACACCAAAGAATAAAACTATAGTAGCATTCTCAATTTTGCTAGGAATGTTAAAAAATGTCAAAAACACATTTTAATGTTTTACTTACAAAAATCATACAAAATGTTTTATTTACAACGAATGAATACTCTAACGATTATATTTCAAGTTCACTCCATTGTTGTATTTATAAATTAACGAACACATAAATATTTTGCACATTATATTAATTAGTAACTTTTGTAACTGCTGTTTATATATAGGTTAGCAATAAAATTTGTTTGATGTTTTGAAAGAACTCTTAACATTCTCAATCTGACCCTTGTTCCCAGGGCTTCTCGACTGCCTGGGAACGAGGGTGTACAACCCCTTGAAATATTTGCGTTTCCCGTTTGCGTGACCCGTGGTTTGTGGTGAAACACTGACCAACGAGTTTCAGTCATTTTTGTAAATAACTCTGTCAGAGGAGTCTGTGAACGTTCTGTTCATAATTTTAAAAGTTCTTTTAAATAGGGCAAACAAATTTTTCATAACCTTTAAATATAAATCGACACACCACCATCGTTCTTTTGTCTCACTCCAAACTCGCTATACATACTCCCTGCAAAAACAATGAAAACATTTTAGGTCTGGTGCTCAATTTTTTTAGTGAACCCCATTACACAGGGTGTCCCGGAAAAAATGCAATAGGTATGTTCCAGATTTTTATACAGCTAGCTATTAGCGAGCATCGCAAAGATGAATTTTACTGTCAAAATTCATGTCTTAGATTAATTTTTCGATGTCCACTAATACTTAGGTGTATAAAAATCTGGAACATACCTATTGCTTTTCGGGTAACCTGTATACGCATTTAATCATATACTATAACATGTTAATTTGCGCAATATAAATATTAAATATTAATTATTATTATTATGTATGATGCTAAATCGTCCAATGAATGCTAAATTCATTGGACGTTAGAAAGATAATACTCGCGATGCAAGTTAGAAAAATAATACTCACGAAGACTCCAGCATCAACGGTTCCAAATGTTTACTCAAGTTTCCATCAACATTTGATACCTTCCCATCAGCCTCAGCAAGCTTCTTGTGCCCTCTATATTTCTTCATCTGTCTACGGGGTTTATCCCCGGCGTTAGTACCACTATTCCCAGTATCCTCTTGCGCTAATGAATTCGTAGAATTCGAAATGTTTGCATCCTGTGAAGGATTTATCAGTTTCTTAGAACCAGCGTCATCTCCAGCGCTCGATCTTCGTGTTGTATCATGATCCGCTAACGCTTTCCGAGAACGTGGCCTTGTTTTATCACTGTGTCTAGAGTTTTCAGAATTCTTAGAATGGTTTCCTTCGGGATTTCGAGAATATTCCGAATTTCTAGAAATTGTTCCTTCGTTAGAATGTACTGTCGTATTCTTTTTCCCGTCGGCGTTTTTTAAATGTTCAGAATTTTTCGCAATATCAGAGTTCCGAGAATGAGTGGAGTGTCTGGATTTCGAGCGTAAATTTTCCAGAGCGGTATCAGCTTCGCTCTTAGCACGTCTTAGAGGTGGGGATGTCCGCGGTTCTAATAATTGATCATCCATGGACTTTCTCATGAGATCAGGAGATTTCCGAGATAACACAGGCGAGGAACGCTTTGGAAGTTGATTGCGTTTCCGAGAAATATCCGTACCGTTGCTCACGTTTCTGGTCAGCGGTAGGCCTGCAATCAACGGGGCTTTAATAGGCGGGGCCTGGGCACCAGGACTTGATCTGGAATGCTCGGATGGCTCAACTGTATCTGGCGAAGTAGAACTCGAGTCATTTCTAGAAAGTCGAGATAAATTTCCAGGAATTTCTACACCATTACAATGAGCTGCATCGACACACTCACTTCCTTCCGTCTTGGGAAGACTTCGTGATTTCCCAGAAATTTGAGTTGGATCTGGTAATTGTCGATTACCTGAAGACGATCGAGCAAGCTTCGTCTTACGTCCGTCTTTTAGATCGGACGCACCGGAGTCAACATGTCCAGCATCCATAGCGAGTCTACGTTCACCAAGTTTCTTTGCGCGGTCCACGGACGGACTTCGCGGGACACGTTTTCGTTCTCCGTGACTTCGCGTGCTACGTTTCGTGTTCTCTCGAGGTGAAGTCTCCTCATCCTTCCCGACTTCCTTCGAAACCTTAGCGCTCAATTTTTGAGCCAATAAAAGCTTCAGTTTTTCTGCCGATTCTTTCTCGCCGTTTGATGAATGCTTCTCTTGACTAATCACACTCTCATTCGGACTGACGTCGGGAGCAACTTCGTTCTCTGGCGATAAAGACATTTGGATTTCGTCCATATCGACACTTTCCGTCAAGTCAACTTCGGAAATACTCGTCGCTGATCGTGGACTTTCGAGATCCACGGATGTTTCAGTTAACATTTGTAATTCGCCTTCAGTAATCGTGTTTGTCTGTTTAACAGAGGAGGACCGTGATAATCTGCCTGAGTGCAGAACATCCTCGCGGGCAGGCTTGTTATGCGGGTCAGAGGTTGATCGGGTTACCTTACTATCAGCTCTTGGTCTACGATATACGTTATCATGTTTCGACTTCGTTTTACGTTCGTTGCACGACGCTCTACGAACAACACCCCGAGAACTCTCCGAAAGGCCGGCGATTGCAAGGTTTCCGTCAGAGCCCGACAAATGACGTCGTAAACGTGGTGACGATGACATCACAGGAACGTCTAGAAATTCGTTTGAATTCTTCCAGAAATTACGGTTATGTTTCGTGGTCGGTGATTGGCTTGACGTTGCCCCGGGAGACTGAGTTTCAGCATCATCAGCAGTTAGACATCTGCTACCATCACTTTGTAAGACAGCTCGATACAAGTTCTGAAAACACGGACAAAAATGACAGCTCATAATTTCCTCTCAAATATCAGGATTACTTGCAATTGAGTTGACTAAAGACCACAAGGATTTCTCCTCTTCTGGTAACAATGGAGCAATAACGGATAAACCTTGGACTTCCTAGTTTGGACTTCCTCCTATGGGATGTCCCTTACTTGAGCTCAAAGGAACACAATTTACAATGGAGCTATCCAGTAGTGGTACTAAGTCAGTTTAGATCTCTGAGGGGAACAGCTTACTGATGTAGAACTGATAAAGCTATGCAGCACAAATAACGTTTCCTGCCGTAGTAATTCTGGACCAGTAAAGCCTGATTTATACACTATCAAAGTTTCTGTGATCACAGTAGGAATTTGGTATACTTGTCATACTTAGGTAAATTAATTCTAAGTTTTTGCAAGATTTGTAAAAAATGCATGAGAAAACTGACTCAGTGTTGAACATGCCCGTGAGTCACTTCCCTCAAACATTTCTTACAAACCCATCAAAGCTTAGAATTTTACTTGTGCAAAATCTGATCTAAGAAAAAGAACAGTTTAAAACTGACAGACCTATCCAGTTCAAATAAATTTAGCTTAATTATTGACATATTTAGAATCTTACCTTTGCTTTATCAATCTTTTCAATCCATTTTGCTTGAACAACGGAATTAGGGGCGTGCAGAACATAGGCACAGACGACGATACGATATTCGTTTAAATAAACCAACAAAAACGTTCCTGGATCTTTGAGAACATGCACTTTCACCTTGTCAATACGAAGAGGCTGAAACAAATAAAATAAACAATATTAATAAAGCAAAATGGGGGGAAAAGGCACACGTCCTAACAGACCGGCTTCACAATCTTGAATTTGTCCATTTTCTTTGCTTTTGTCAACAATAACATATCAGTGAAAAGAAAAACGTGAATGTCCATCTAGTGAACGAAAAATAAAGTTAGACAAAAGAAAGCTTGTAATCAAATAAACTAAACTATCTTTGTTTATAACGGATATAATTAATAGCTTTATCAGATCTAAATTGTATTTGTCTGCAGGCGCCCAGAAAGGGCTCGACGGGCTCTTTACAATTAACTTTTGTAAGCATCTTTTAGGTCCTGAAAGGCCAACTTCTTCTAACCATATCTCAACAGCAATAGAGATTCACTTACTCTGCCCTGTTTCTCATTCAAACGAAGAGGTCCATTATACAAAAGACAGCGATGTTGGTCCTCACAAGCTCCAGGCATCGTACGAGTTATATCAAAGTCACAATAGTTATCAATAAGAAGCTACGAAAAATAAACAAACGTTTTAAGGTGAAATAATACAAACAAAAAATGTTGTAACAAAGTCTCCTCTCATCACATATAGGAAGGATTAAGCATTGTGTCTCAAGTGTTGTAAATTGTAACAAGTAAATAAATAAGTTTATAGGTGGGGTGGGGGGTGCTTATAATTTTTTCTTGCAGGCTTACTGTGAGTGAGATCAGTGTCACGAGCCTGGTCGTGAGAAATGCTAGATGTTTGACTTTCATGTTTGATTTACACTTAGTCATCAAGAACCTTTTTTCTTCATGTGATTTTGAACTGGTAAAAGATACTTTAGCTTGAAATGTTTTATCAAATGCAAAGAAAGGCATCACTTATTTTCTAAAAGTTCAATATTTTAGTCTCAAACTACTCATCACCTTTGGGAATATAGTCAAACATTTTTCACTATTAGTCAAAACACGTTTTACTCTAGACTCTCACATCATTTGAAGTACCTTTTCGACTTCATCACTAATAGGATCGACAGGCCAGTAACTTTCAATTTTGATCGCAGCTTTATTCAGGTTTTCTTTTTTATGTCGTATTTTCATGCAGCCGTCAACTTTACTCACGAATTTTTGCACAGTTGAGATCTAAAGAAAAGATCAGAGTTGAGAGAATGTACAAAACCTGAACGACTTGCTTCATTACAGGTTAAGAAAGAGTTCTGTTGTGATATCGGCTAAATTCCTACAATGTTTCGTTGATATTTTTCTTACCATTGACGTAATTTCCTTTCTTTTATCTTCGTCCACAGTTTTCTTTAAGATTGCTTTTAACAACAACGGATATTTTGTGAGTCTTTCCATTAGTTTGACGAGAAGATCACTAAGCTTTAGTCGTTTGCATTCCGGACGACTTTCGCACCACTGTGTAGAGAAAATAACATAAAAAATGTCAGGAAAGTTTGGTTGGTTCTCTCTTGTGCTCCCTGGGATTTTCACCAGGCTATCTTCCACACCAAAAGTTATAAATCCTTAATTGTTGAACACTTCTATCATGAGCCTCTAGCTCGGGTGAATTGGACAAATTTTTAAACTATTCAATAAAGAAAATATAATTCCATTTTCATCAAACCCTCAGCTTGCCTCCACATATATTTTAAACAGCTCATCTTCTGATTGTTTCTGTTTGAAGTATTTTGTACAACTGGATTCCTCCATACAATATTTCAGATACGGTTCAAACTGACTGTCAAACTAAACACAAAACCAAATAAACTGTAAGTACACACTCTGAAATTCAATCTGGCTAATCACTAAGTGTTATTACTTACCATTGAAACCGTCTGCCATATAAAATGGATTTAATAATTTCTTAGTGTGTCTTGCCTGCAAAACATAAAGGTAGATTTAATTTCTTTCTAGCTTTCCTGAGGTCAGTGAGGTGGGGTTATTGCTGGAAACGTCTTAATTCACATCAGCTTGTAATTTTACGCCGCGCTTAAACCTCACGTTTGAAGATGTTTATTTCATTTCAAAATGACTGAAATATATAAACCCTCTAAATATATTAAAGAAAAAAGGAGATTAAAATCTCGTAACGTAAGGTAACAAGACATTTCGAGTGAAGGCCCTTCCTCTGCTGGAAGTAGCGTGGGTCGGATGCTTTTATACTCTGGTGAATACAAAAACGATCACGTGATAACTCAGTTATAGAGTTAGAACATTTATTGATTTATTATATATACCTACCATATTCATCACAGGCTTCAATGTACTAAACCAGAATGACACATTCACAGCATAAATTTCTTCAATATTACTGAACAAATTTGTGAGGTCAATCTGCAAGTTTATAATGACACTAATTAGATGTTTCAATTAACGACTATTGTTTAATTGTCCACAATAGATTTTTCTAATTGATACAATCATTTTCATACCAACCTCAGTGAGGTATCCCTCGTATTGAATATTTCGTAGGCACAAGATAAATATCTGTATAACATTATTGGTGATTTATTAAATAGACCAAAAAGAAACTATATTTTCCCAAGAAATTGTACAAATAATGGCCCGACTTATACTAGAGTTAGTGTGATAAACACGTAAAAATCTCACAACTTCTCAACAAGATGTGTTAAATCGCAACAGGCTTAATTGTTGCAAGATTGCCAACGAGTTTCAACAATGTTGTTATTTTATCAAGTTGCTACAAGGTTGTCACTGACAACTTGTAACAAGTCTGTTGAGCTCAACAAGTGACAACAACCTTGTAGCAACGCCGCTGACAACTTATGAACACATCCTGTTGACAAGTTGTTGGAACAGCATTGCTACAAATCCTCTGCAGGCTTGTTGCAACTACAGATGATATCCACGTCATTGGATGAAAAAAACTAATACTTTCTTACCAGTACTTAGCGGATTTTCGCAGGCATGCATGGCAAGGTCAAGGCAGCGTATAATCTGTTTCAGGCGATATTCCAGTTTGTTTTTGCGGTGTTAATCTGCCAGACTCCGTCTCTGGTGTAAGTCGAGCGAATTTCGTGTCAAGTGAGTGATAAGTACTTACTTTTTTTATGACTTGAAGTTTAGTGATGTATGCGACCTCTGTTGAGAGTAACTCCCAGATAGCTTCTTGCTGATCACGGACACTTTTACTAAGATCCTGAAGATGAGTAAAAACGAGGTTATGCAATAACCAAGATTAACAACTAAGGAACAGCGCGCGCGGAGCCTCGAGATGGGTTTCATGCTACAAGGACGTTCAGTATAACATGTGCCAGCTCACTGTGCCAAGGGCAGCTTGCCAGGAGAATATAAGTCGCCTGTTTACTTCAAACACAAGTTGGAAAATCCAAACATCCCAAAACAGGCATTCGGAATCGTTTAATTTCCACAGAGTAACTCCGTCACGGCGTGATAGATCTGGTACACTGTAGGTGCAAACGGATGGCCAGGTCAATATACTCGAAATTCCTTCATGCCCCTTGACCTGAATCCAAGTAATTGCAAATGTTTGATAAACTAGTAAACACTGCAGACCTCCCAACGCTTGCACCGAACCATCCACATGACGCGTAAGTTATGTTGCTATAAGTGTTAATCTGGATTCCCGATTCCATCAACACACTGGATCCTATACTCTGATCCTATTCTGGATTCCATGCTCTGGATTCTGGATTCCATTACATACAGTAGGACGAATAGAAAATGTTGTTGGCAACAGGGCGCTGATATAATAAGCTGTATATAGCACCCTTGTTGGCGGCATAACAGTGAGTGTATGTCCATTACAAATTCCCTGCAGTCGCATTTCTAGAGTGTTTCCAATTTAACTTAACCAAATATCGCCGCTTTTATCTAGGTACTTCGGTTTCCAGGCTCCTGTAGTAACACCGGAGAAATAAAGGATAGTTCATACAAATTTTACTGAACCTCTAGAGAAAACCGCGCTTTCTGCACCAAAAAGTTAGTTTAGTTTATTTTAGTAAGAATACAGTACTGCATGCGCAATCCACAGACAAGGGATTTCAGAATTACCTCACAGTCTTTCACGACTTCGGTCCACGAGTCCTCCTAGAACAAAAATGAAATACACATAACAATGTAAAACAGGAATGATGGATTTCATAAACAAAACATAGAAGTATTACAGTAAATTTTCAGATATACAGTATATAAAAACAGATTTATTTACCAAATAAAACTGCTGTTCGTTTGAAGAGGTGGTTTTCGAATCACTTTCCAATCCATATACAGTAAAGAATTGCAAGATCTCTGGCAGAGATCTCAATGGAGTCAAGTCCTGAAATATAGAAGATGATGTATTATTGAAAACAGAACTTGACTATGTGTTCTTATACGATATGTTCTTATACGTTTGTCAAATATTGAGTATTTTTTCAACATTATGAAAAACAATATCGAATACTAGCTTTCCGTAACAGCACGAAAAAGCACCTTGAACGAAACATCTCTCCGTTGCAATAATTCCTCTGGAAATAGCGTAAAAAGTACGCGGATAGGAGATTTTTCACTACGTCGCTACGGAAAGCTATCCGATACAGAGTATAAACGTTAGCCGAATAGGCTCACCTTTCCTCTGTCTTTGGTAAGAGTACTTGGGTTTCCAGTAAATAAACCGGTTAGTATCCCGCTGGTCTGCCTTTCTGAAAAGTATTTGTGCTGACATTGCTAGACATTGAGACTTCACTGTCCACTGGCGTTGACGGCCCGGACTTTTTGCCATGTTTCTAAATATAGTAAATTAAAGACAGTTATTAAATGTCAGCAGTGGCGTAGCTAGCGGTCCCGCTGTCCCGCCGGGCGGGACTAACAATTTCCAAAAAAATGTGTAATTAAATGTTTTATAGTGAAGCCAAAATCACAGCTTTGCTTATTCTGAAAATTTAAATATTAATTATGGTCATTTTCAGTGCTTTCATTTGTCATTTATTTAAAGTTTACGCAATATTGCTGTCTGCTCTTTGACCTCTTTGTTGTCTAGTAACTGATACTAATTTCCACGCAATTTATTGCTTACTCACGCTATTCGTGAATCGCATGTCTCGTGTTCCGCTGATTTTCATGTGGCGGGATATGCAATACTATCTTATACAAGAAATTCTGGTTTCTGGTTGGATAATTGGCGCAGCGCATGCCCAGAACGGTTGTTTTTAATGTCGAAGTCCCGCTATTTTATGAAGGCGGAGGTTGTTAATATTCATGCTGACGAAGCTTTCAGCGCGAGTATTCACGACAGAGACGGTGGTAGGTCATCATATTACTATTCATATCATATTTGATATTGCTTTTGTGATTTGTATACAATGGCTTCAACGAGCGTGACGAACTTTATGGAAAGCCACAGCGGAATTTCATTTCATTCGTTGCTTTTAGCATTATATATGTGGTGCTTTTATCGTTATACGAGGTGCTCTTTACATTATACGCGGTGCTTCGAGTTCGAGCATTATACGCGATGATTTTGACATATATGGGCTACACGCAACATTGTACGAGGTGATTTTAACATTATACGCGGTGCTTGAGACATTTATTTAATAATATACGCGGTGCTTGAGACATACGAGCCTTTACGAGGTGCTTTTAGCATTATATGCGGTGCTTGAGACATTATACGCGGTCGGTATAACGTTATACGCAGTACCTTCAGCATTGTACGCAGTGGTTTTATCATTATCGCATTGCTGCAACTACTTGCTGTGGTTTCAACATCATACGCGGTGCTTGAGACATTATACGAAATGCAGTGATTAATTATTCGTTGTGCTGCAGACTCAGTGCAGAGGGCAATATTTTTGCCTAGCACAGCACTTCTCTGAGCTCACACAGATCTTCTCTCGGCCATATGGCACTTTTTGTATTTTACGAAGGGAAAATACTTGTGTTAGAGGTGTATAGAAACTTTGCTTAGTGGCACCCTTCCACCCTCGAAATCGCAGGAAATGCCATTTCCGAGGTTCTAGATTTCAAATTTTCTCGGGGGGGCATGCCCCCGAACCCCTCTAGGAAGGTCGCACCTGCGGTGCGAGGGGTCCGCCTTCGGCGGGACGATTTTTTTCAGCCAGCTACGCCACTGAATGTCAGATCAAACCATCAAACAAAACTGAACTAAGATTTATGAGGACGACATTTACCTAAATGTGCATATGAAGTGGATATTTTTATTTTCCAATATTTATATTTTACAAGGTTCCTGACGTTGAGGACAAGGTTCCTGACGCTGAGGACAAGGTTCTTGACGCTGAGGACAAGGTTCCTGACACTGAGGACAAGGTTCCTGACGTTGAGGACAAGGTTCCTGACGCTGAGTACAAGGTTCCAGACGCTGAGGACAAGGTTCCTGACTTTGAGGACAAGGTTCTTGACGCTGAGGACAAGATCCCTGACGTTGAGGACAAGGTTCCTGACGTCGAGGACAAGGTTTCTGACGCTGAGGACAAGGTTCCTGACGCTGAGGACAAGGTTCTTGACGCTCACGACAAGATTCCTGACGTTGAGGACAAGGTTCCTGACGTCGTGGACAAGGTTCCTGACGCTGAGGACAAGGTTTCTGACGTTGAGGACAAGGTTCCTGACGCTGAGGACAAGGTACCTGACGTCGAGGTCAAGGTTCCTGATGCTAAGGACAAGGTTGTTGCCGCTGATGAAAAGGTTTTTGACGCTGAGAACAAGGTTCCTGACGCTGACGACAAGGTTCCTGACGCCGATGACAAGCTTCTTGACGCTGAGGAGAAGGTTCCTGACGCGGAGTACAAGGTTCCAGACGCTGGAGACAAGGTTCCTGACGTTGAGGACAAGGTTCCTGACGCTGAGGACAAGGTTCTTGACGCTGAGGACAAGGTTCCTGACACTGAGGACAAGGTTCCTGACGCTGATGACAAGGCTCCTGACGTTGAGGACAAGGTTCCTGACGCTGAGTACAAGGTTCCAGACGCTGAAGACATGGTTCCTGACTTTGAGGACAACGTTCTTCACGCCGAGGACAAGGTCCCTGACGTTGAGGACAAGGTTCCTGACGTCGAGGACAAGGTTCCTGACTCTAAAGGACAAGATTCCTCACGTTGAGGACAAGGTTCCTGACGTCGAGGACAAGGTTCCTGACGCTGAAGACAAGGTTCTTGACGCTGAGGACAAGGTACCTGACGCTGAGGACAAGGTTCCTGATGCTGAGGACAAGGTTGTTGACGCTGATGAAAAGGTTCCTGACGTTGAGGACAAGGTTCCTGACGCTGAGGACAAGGTTTTGACGCTGAGAAGAAGGTTGCTGACGCTGAGGACAAGGTTCCTGACGCCAATGACAAGGTTTGTGACGCTGAGGACAAGGTTCTTGACCCTGAGGACAAGGTTCCTGATGCTGAGGAGAAGGTTCCTGACGCTGAGGACAAGGCTCCTGACGTTGAGGACAAGGTTTCTGACGCTGAGTACAAGGTTCCAGACGCTGAGGACATGGTTCCTGACTTTGAGGACAACGTTCTTGACGCTGAAGACAAGATCCTTGACGTTGAGCACAAGGTTCCTGACGTCGAGAACAAGGTTCCTGACGCTGAGGACAAGGTTCCTGACGTTGAGGACAAGGTTCTTGACGCTCAGGACAAGATTCCTGACGTTGAGGACAAGGTTCCTGACGTCGAGGACAAGGTTCCTGACGCTGAGGACAAGGTTACTGACGTTGAGGACAAGGTTCCTGACGCTGAGGACAAGGTTCTTGACGCTGAGGACAAGGTCGTTGACGCTGATAAAAAGGTTCCTGACGTTGAGGACAAGGTTCCTGACGTTGAGGAAAAGGTTCCTGACGATGAGGACAAGGTTCCTGACGTCGAGGTCAAGGTTCCTGACGTTGAGGAGAAGGTTCCTGACGCTGAGGACAAGGTTTTTGACGCTGAGAACAAGGTTCCTGACGCTGAGAACAAGGTTCCTGACGCCGATGACAAGGTTCGTGACGCTGAGGACAAGGTTCTTGACGCTGAGGAGAAGGTTCCTGACGCGGAGTACAAGGTTCCTGACGCTGGGGACAAGGTTCCTGGACGTTGAGGACAAGGTTCCTGACGCTGAGTACAAGGTTCCAGACGCTGAGGACATGGTTCCGGACTTTGAGGACAACGTTCTTGACGCTGAGGACAAGATCCCTGACGTTGAGGGCAAGGTTCTTTACCTCGAGGACAAGGTTCCTGACGCAGAGGACAAGATTTCTGACGTTGAGGACAAGGTTCTTGACGTCGAGGACAAGGTTCCTGACGCTGAGGACAAGGTTACTGACGTTGAGGACAAGGTTCCCGACGCTGAGGACAAGGTTCTTGACGCTGAGGACAAGGCACCTGACGCTGAGGACAAGGTACCCGACGCTGAGGACAAGGTTCCTGATGCTGAGGACAAGGTTGTTGACGTTGAGGACAAGGCGCCTGACGCTGAGGACAAGGTTCCTGACGATGACGACAAGGTTCCTGACGTCGAGGTCAAGGTTCCTGACGTTGAGGACAAAGTTCCTGACGCTGAGGACAAGGTTTTTGACGCTGAGAAGAAGGTTCCTGACGCTGAGGACAAGGTTCCTGACGCCGATGACAAAGTTCGTGACGCTGAGAACAAGGTTCTTGACCCTGAGGACAAGGTTCCTGATGCTGAGAAGGTTCCTGACGCTGAGGACAAGGCTCCTGACGTTGAGGACAAGGTTTCTGACGCTGAGTACAAGGTTCCAGACGCTGAGGACATGGTTCCTGACTTTGAGGACAACGTTCTTGACGCTGAGGACAAGATCCCTGACGTTGAGCACAAGGTTCCTGACGTCGAGGACAAGGTTCCTGACGCTGAGGACAAGGTTGCTGACGTTGAGGACAAGGTTCTTGACGCTCAGGACAAGATTCCTAACGTTGCGGACAAGGTTCCTGACGTCGAGGACAAGGATCCTGACGCTGAGGACAAGGTTGCTGACGTTGAGGACAAGGTTCCTGACGCTGAGGACAAGGTTCTTGACGCTGAGGACAAGGTACCTGACGCTGACGACAAGGTTCCCGATGCTGAGGACAAGGTTGTTGACGCTGATAAAAAGGTTCCTGACGTTGATGACAAGGTTCCTGACGCTGAGGACAAGGTTCCTGACGATGAGGACAAGGTTCATGACGTCGAGGTCAAGGTTCCTGACGTTCAGGACAAGGTTCCTGACGCTGAGGACAAGGTTTTTGACGCTGAGAAGAAGGTTCCTGACGCTGAGGACAAGGTTCCTGACGCCGATGACAAGGTTCGTGACGCTGAGGACAAGGTTCTTGACCCGGTGGCCGGACATTTTGCCGAAAGACACTTTGCCGAAAGACATTTTGCCGAAAGACATTTTGCCGAACGGACATTTTGCCGACGGACCTTTTGGCGGACGTTTTGCCGAACGGACATTTTGCCGAATGTACATTTTGCCGAACGGACAGTTTGGCGAACGGACATTTTGCCGAAAATAGAGATATCTTCTGAACTTTAAAGGTTCGCTTACACGGCCAAAGTCTCTGTGATTAAAGTCATTAATTGTCGATTTTGATGACAGAAACTTTGATAATGAAGTATAGTTTCGTTTTATATTCTTTCAAGTTTTTGACAAGTTTACCGAAAATTCTCTATATAAAGAATAACATCATTCAACATCATTCATGAATGTGATTTCCTCGAGAACTGTGAATGTATTCCATGATTCTCGAAGTGAAATTCGCTTACGTCGTCTTTATATAGTTTACGCTTGTTTGTTTACGATCTAACGTCAAAACACGTTCCTAACAAATGAGTCATCCGCTGCACAAACAAGCTACCAATAGTCAATATGGTTATGCACTGCTAACAACCATTACGCACTGTTAATGACCATTATCACTGCTAATGACCATTGCGACCGATCCTATGCAAAAACCGTGTTAAGCCTTGATGCCCTAAACCCTGACCAGGTGAATCCCCGATCGGATAGGTCAATCAGCGAGTCAAATCTAAAGCATTCTTCGTCCCCTCATCTTCCAGCCCCGAGACCCTCAAGTCTTAGACACGGTCAAGGTACAAACCCCTTAGAGTTTCGAAGGCACCATTGTAGCCGGTATCCTTTTTTAAAACGTTGTCGTGTCATTCCTTCGTATCGGACAGCCCACCGCCACCACTCTCTAGAGTGGTTGGCCCATCTCCACACAGTGGCCTGTTTGACGAGTCAGCAGCAGACAATATGATGAAAATACTTGTTAGAATCACTTCACGTCAGAGACCATCACGTCAGAGACTGTCATATCAACTAACCATTAATAATTCTTCTAGTGTTAACAATAACTTGCAAAATAGAAATCTTGTTCGTGTTCCTTTGTCCAACCCTGCCTCTCCAAACGCTTCCGCACTCTCGTGGTCACTCACGTCGAAAACCACTAATGATACGGCCTCAGCCCATTTAACAAAAAAGTCAGATAACAGCCTCAGTACCCTTCCAGGTCTCAAACTGGTCCACCTAAACATCCGCCCTCTGAAAAATAACGCCCATTTTTTAGAATTACGTAAGTTTACCAAATTTAACAAAATTGACGTCCTTACAGTATCAGAGACATGGTTAAATACCTCCGTCACGAACAAGGAAATAGAAATCGAAGGTTATAAGCTACATCGTTTAGACCGACTGCACAAGAAAGGGGGCGGGGTATGTGCTTACATACGAAAAGATATTAAATCTCTTGTACTTAAAGACCTCAGTTATATCTCCGAGACGAATTTCCATCAATTATGGATCAAATTACAGCACAAAAAATCTAAATCACTGTTGGTCTGTGTCTCTTATCGACCCCCAGACAGCCCGCTTGACTGCTTCGAAAAATATTTTAAACCTAATTATGTTCATGCTCTGACGATGGGAAAGTTGATCATTCTTCTTGGAGACCTAAACTGCGATATGCTTAAGTCCACACCTGGATCAGCGTCTTTGATCAAGACGACAAAAGAACTCAACCTTAACCAGTTAATAAAATCACCAACAAGAATTACTGAATCCAGTCAGACCCTCGTCGACGTTATTTTAGTATCCTCGCCAAGACTTGTAGTCAACAGCGGCGTCAAAGAAACCTGTATCAGCGATCATTTCCCTGTGTATGTATCACTAAAACTTAAAACCGACAAATCTCCACCAAACTATATCACTACCCGCAGCTACAATAAATACGACCCTGATTTGTTCGCGATCGATCTGGCATCCAACCGTGATCGTCTTGTTTCCATTTTCAGAATGGACAATGTTGATGAAAAACTAACCATTTTTAATGAAATATTTTTAAATACATTGGATAAACACGCCCCAGTAAAGACCATAAAAGTACGCGGAAAATCTTGCCCATTTATCACCCCGGAAATAAAAGCATCCATGATCAAAAGAGACCAGCTCCACAGTCTTTTCAGGAAAACACGTGATCATTATGATTGGCTTAATTTCAGAGAGGCCCGCAATTTTACAAACACCGCACTTGTTAATGCACAGAAAGAATATGTACTGAAGGAAGTTCAGCAACACAGAAACAATACTGGGTCACTTTGGAAGGTAATTAAAGAAAATATAGCGTATAGGGAAAGAGAGTCGGTGGTCTACAGTAAGGAACCGAAATTAGTGGCCGAAGAGTTTAATAATTTCTTTTCCACCATTGGTGTGAATGCAGCAAAGAAAGCCTCAACACTAATACAAGATCCTAGTGTTTATCCAGCTCGGAATCTTTCTGACGTAAATCGCACAGATAACAGCTACCCTGAAGAAAATGATAGATTTAGTTTCACCCCCTGCCTCGTCCCCAGGCGCTAATAAAAAATTTCATGGGAGTCACTATATGAAAGGTTTACATGAAGTAGTGCATCATGACGAACAAGCGCAGGGAGTTATGGGCTTGAGGCATCAAAATTGCTAACCAGAACGCTCATATCCCACTGTCCTTTGCGCGCGCCTATAATGTGACGCACTACTTCATGTAAACCTTTCATATAGTGATTCGCAAATTTTTTAATTAGCGCCTGGGGACGAGGCAGTTTCACCCCAGTCTCTTGTTCAGAAATAAGGAACATCATATTAGCTATGCCGTCAAACAAATCACCCGGCAAAGACAAAGTGAGTATGCGTGTCATCAAACACA